CCTGACCATTGGAGCATCTAGTTCAGTATTGTCTACACTGACTGGTAGCAGCTCTCCAAGATAACCTGGAGATGAGACCTGACACTCAACCCCTTTGCTGCAGCCCATCCTTAGAACAAGGTGTGTTGCCTGCTCAGGGAAGGTTTATTCCAGGGGTCGGCAAGGTTTACCTCCATGGGTTGGATCGTGCGCCTGATTTCTGGTGTCTGCATCTGCGGGTGGCTCAGTTCAGGGGCGGCTCGTGGGCTGGTTAAATGACCCCCATGGGCTGCTTGTGGCCCATGCTTAGGTTGCCGACCCCTGGTTTATTCCCTCAGACTAGGAGAGAGCAGCACGACTACTTCATACCTAAAGGTAAAGGGGGACCTCTGACCTTAGGTCCAGTCGCAAACGACTCTGGGGTTGCGGCGCTCATCGCGCTTTATTGGCCAAGGGAGCCGGCGTACAGCTTCCGGGTCATGTGGCCAGCATGACTAAGCCTCTTCTGGCGAACCAGAGCAGCGCACGGAAACGCCCTCTACCTCCCCGCTGGAGTGGTACCTATTTATCTACTTGCACTTTGACGTGCTTTTGAACTGCTAGGTGGGCAGGAGCTGGGACCGAACAACGGGAGCTCACCCCGTCGCGGGGATTCGAACTGCCGACCTTCCGATCAGCAAGCCGTAGGCTCTGTGGTTTAGACCACAGCGCCACCCGCATCCCTTACTTCATACCTAGCAGTCTTCAAATAAGGAAAGGAAGAAGTAACGGTGGTAGCACAAATATTTTAGAAGACCCTTTCACATTCTGCTGTGTATACTTCCTTATCCGTAAGAAACTGGGAGAGAAGCAAAACAATGGTTTTTTTAGAGAGAGAAATCTGTACTGGAGCTGCAAGCAAATCCAAGTGCTTTGAAACGCAAAACAATATCCCAGATTCATGTTTTGAAAATGCATTCTTTCTGTTGCCTACCTTGTCCCCAGAAGACCTTTTATTTTCTTTTGCAGGGCAGATTCCATACCCATGCAAAAATCCTTATCTTAGTGCTTTGCGGTACTGCATATAAAAATGAATGAGCTTTAAGGATTAGTCTGCAATCATCTGACCCCTCATGTTTTGTCTTAAATTAGTTTCTGCTTCTTCCCCTCTGGCTGACACACAGGAAATTACATCTCAAACTTAAACTTTACTCTTCTCTCTCTCTCTCTCTCTCTCTCTCTCTCTCTCTCTCTCTCTCTTCCACCCACTCAACAAGCTAGGTCTTCTTTCATTTCTGGCAAAGAATTAAAGTGACATATTGGTGGCCTAGCTTTGGAAAGAGTGGCGTGGAAATCGTTGGGTAGCTTTGAGTGACACACTTGGAAAGTGCTGAGGGGAGCGGGGACAGGATTCTTTTCCTCCAGCTGGTAAAACCAGTAGCAACCTTCTATAAGGGTATTTATTTTACAAATACCTTTGGGGCTGAACCCTCACAAGGCAGCTTCCAGCAAAGCAAAGACTCAGCCCAGGCAATCTGCTGGAGATGAGTTGCTGTCCTCATTAGGCCTGACGCTCCTTGTGTGGATCCTGTTTTTGCTAATAAAGAGTGAACTCCAACTTGCTAGTGTGATTTGCTGTCAGTGAGGGAAGGAGGGGAAAACAGATCACCTGGCCCTAATGGAAGAACTGACTGAGCACTACCTTGGATACAAGCCAATATTAAATGCATAACACAACATCCATACAATAACAAAAATTTAAACAGTTGTATAAATTACAGTTCATAATAATGAACAATACAATGCATGATAACAGGTAATACATGATGCATACTGAACATAATGAATACATACTAGGAAGCCGTGTCAAGTTAATCACAACTTTGTCCCAGCAATAAATTCCAACTCAGCCCCTGTAAAGTAGTCTCATAACTTGTTATTACCCACTTACCTTGCTTGCAACTGTAAAATACAATGCATATCCTTTTTTTAATTGCAAATTTATTAAAGAAAGAGAAAAAAGAAAATGCACACAAGGGGTGTGTGTGGAACCAAACAACAACAACAGAACAAAACCCAAATCATCTATTCACATTCACAATAACACTCAGCATCTATGCATCCATCTTAATTTACACATACAGATCAATATATGCCATCCAAATGTCCAAGGGCATTAAGGTCTTCAGATCATTACATAATAGATGGTATTCATTCCTCCAGGCTTAAGTGTAAGTCACTTAGTCACCATAAGGACTCACAGATTCCATTCTTGTTGTCCTGTTGTTAGTCCCCATACGACAGGGGAATAATTTAAAAGTACACGAACACCCACAAATATGAAGGATTTTTCCAATACAGGATTAATACACACAGCAACTTCAGCGCAAAACAAGTATTTTGCTGCACTGGCCCACATTATATGCCTCAACGAAGCATTTCCTGCATTGCACTTTCAGCCTATATCTGAGCTTGACAGCAATTTCTTGTAGAGATGTTATGGAATCCAGCTCACCTGAAACCCCCAATTTTTAAATCAGACATTCTGTCTAGATTCCAAAGCAATCTTCCATTGTTCGGGTCGTATTGTACATTCTAATTCCCTGTTCCACTCTTCCCTAAATAATGCAAATACAACATCTTCCTGGAAAATACGAGATGCCTTAGCATATCTACATGCTGTTGTTAATGATGCCAGCCTCGTTCTGACAGATGCAGTGCAAGCATGGTTAACAGCACTGGGGTCACCATCGTATGTATGTCAAGCAGGCCCAGAGTTCCCATTTGTTACCCGTAAGAACCATGTCAGCCTTCGTGGTGGCTGCAGTAGTGCTGTGATGGTGGTTCCTCCCAGGGAGTCCACATTTCCCCCACCATACTGGGGGCTGGTCTGCTAATCCCAAACAATTTGCAAGGCAAGATTGTCCATACATCTGAACCGCTCTCTGCCATAGCATCTTCCTGCTCACCAAACCCTGTTACCTCTTCAGCTTCCATCACCTCTTCCTCCCAGTCCACTCCCTCTCTGACCACTCATTGTCGTCCTACCACCAGTCCCCTGGTTCTGAGTCTTCTTCCCCTAGGGCAGGGGTCTGCAACCCGCGGCTCCGGAGCCGCATGTGGCTCTTTTACACCTTTGCCGCGGCTCCGGGGCAAATACTAGTGAGGGGAGGAGGCGCATTGTGTGCCCCGACACTCCCCACTGTGGCGGGCGCTGTACTGGCTGTGACGTCGCATGGGGGCGGTGCTTGCATTAGTCACACACCGTCCCAACGTCACCTTCCCGCCCGCCCGCTACATTGTAAGGGGCATGTACGCTGGTCACTGTTTTGAAGGGGAGTGAAGAACACACACACACAAAAAGGTAACTTGTTAATTTAACGTTTATTTCTATGAGGAGGAGTAATTCTGAGGGGTCAAACAAAGAAATAAAAAAAAAAGTGACAAGTTATTTTTATAATGACGAGTTTTGCGGCTCCCAGTTTTTTCCCCCTTCGGAAACGGGTCCAAGTGGCTCTTTTTGTCTTAAAGGTTGCAGACCCCTGCCCTAGGGGTTCCATGGCCAGTTCTTCTTAACACTCCTCTCCATCCAGCCAGTCTATAACTTCAGGGCATAAAAATACAGCGGACTCTTGGGTTGCGAACGTGATCCGTGCGGGAAGCACATTCACAACCCGCAGAATTCGCACCTGCAGCGGCGCATCTGTGCACACGCGGGTCGTGATTCGGCGTTTATGCTCAAACCGTGATTTAGTGCTTCTGCGCATGTGCAAGCGCCAAAACCCAGAAGTAACCCGTTCCGGTACTTCCGGGTTCGGCACAGTGCGCAACCCGAAATCGTGCAACCCGAAGCGTCTGTAACCCGAGGTATGACTGTACAACATAAAAAACACAAAACACATAATAAAGTTGAGCAATCCTCCCTCCCACAGCACATTTAAGGATATCAGATGTTAATCAGCCCAGTGTTTTGCCTGGCACCTAAATGTATGCAGTGAAGGCACCAGGCGATCTTCCCTGGGGAGAGCATTCCACAAATGGGGAGCCACCCCAGAGAAGACCCGTTTTTGTATCACCACACAAAGAAGGGCCTCGGAGGATGATCTCAGGGTCTAGGTTGGTTCATAGGGAGAGAGACCGTCCTTGAGGTATTGACTAGATGGGTCATTTCGGTCGGACTTGGTATAAGGGAACTTCCGATGTTTCTAGCCTCTCCCATTACACATAAGGGGCTATCACATGGAGTCGCTGGTGTGTACAAGCTGGTCCCTGCATGTGGGGCCAGTTAGGGCTGGGTGATATATCTATACACCTTCCACAACCGGTTTGAAGTTCATATCGTGATACTGGTTTCATAATTTTTAACCTGGCAATATATCGCGAATCACGATGTGTTTGTGTGCGCGCTATGTGAAAATCACAATGTAAGAAAAACTGCAAAGCCAGCCAATGCCTCCACATAGCTCCATCCTTATTTGAGACATTGTGGGACACGGGTGGCACTGTGGTCTAAACCACTGAGCCTCTTGGGCTTGCCGATCAGAAGGTTGGGGGTTCGAATCCCCATGACCCTCCCGGCAACCTAGCAGTTTGAAAGCACGCCAAAAAGTGCAAGTAGATAAATAGGTACCACTCCGGCAGACAGGTAAACTGCCTTTCCATGCGCTGCTCTGGTTTCGGTGTTCCGTTGCGCCAGAAGCGGCTTAGTCATGCTGGCCACATGACCTGGACAAACTGTCTGCGGACAAACGCCAGCTCCCTTGGCCTGAAAGCGAGATGAGCGCCGCAACCCCAGAGTCGTCTGCGACTGGACTTAACTCTCAGGGGTCCTTTACCCTTTTTTTTTTTTATTCTGCGGTGGTGGTATATCACAAAGTTGAAAACCAGATATCGCCCAGCCCTAGCGCCAGTAATGTGGCAGCTGCACTCCTTGCAATGATCAGCCACCACAGTCAGACAAATTACAGGTTCGTTTGCCTCTTAAACAGTTGTATGTGTGGATTATGGTTTGAAGTGAATTATCCCGGCTTAACGTATGGCAGATTTCTACTTTGCAGGTTCCCCTGGTGGAAACAGTTCCTCAGGTGAAGAAGGAAAAGCACAGTACCCAGGCAGCTAAGAACAGAGCCAAGAGGAAACCTCCCAAAGGAATGTTCCTTTCTCAAGAAGATGTGGAGGCAGTCTCCGCCAACGCGACAGCTGCTACCACCTTGCTGAGGCAACTGGATATGGAATTGGTCTCCATCAAACGGCAGGTACGAGCGCTTTCCCTGCGACAAATCAAGGCTTATTTTTAATCATCCCATACATATTTTAAGAAAGGAGCTGCCATCGGTCTCAATTTTGCGCCTCCCCGGAGGATTCACAGCTCGGACGAGATGTTTTGCATCGGGATGAGACTTGATTAACAAGCTGTCAGCTGAGCAGCATGTTTCAGAATGGAATTATTTCATCTTGGCTTTCTATTTACAGTGCAGCAAGGTACAATGTGCGGTTTGCCAGCTTCCTGTCTCTTCCCCCAAGGTGCTACTATAGACTTCTATAAATCACAGTCTCTGTACTCTTTTTTATACTCTGGACAGGGGTTTTTTTTCGTTTGGAGAACATTTTTGTACCGGCCAACTATTTTTTTAAAAAAACTTCTTGTTTTTTGCATACTTGGTGATTTGATTTCCTTCCCAACTTCAACTTTTACTCATAGAGCAATCTTCCATACTCTCAAATCCAGGAATACAACTAGGATAGCACTGGTTTTTCCTGTCATACCATTCCTATACAATAGACATTTCTCTACCCCCCCCAACCCCCCCCCCCCCAAATTACAGCTAGTCTGAACTGTGTGACAGATTTGGGCTAATTGATGCCGTACTGCAAATCTTCAAGGTTCCGATGTTAAAACGGTTTTCTTCCAATTTTAAGAAAGAAAATTGTTATAATATAACTGATATAACCCAGTAGCTCAGTTGGTTGGATCATGGTGCGGAGAATGGCAAGGTTGCAGGTTCAGTTCCCTGCATTGCATGAGGTTAGGCCAGATGATCCAACTCTATGATTCCATGATTTTATAATCACAACCCCTGGGCAACTCGCTCCCCAAATATGCTTTGTCTTAAAAGGATTGTTCCGTTCTTTCAAGTGCCACATATATTCACCCCAGGTATTTAAAGCACTATGATTCCATTTTGAACAGTCATGGCTTCTTCCCCCAAAGAATTCTGGGAGCTGTAGTTTGTGGTGCTGGGAGTTACTAGGAGATTCCCCTATTTGCCCCCCTATAGTTCACAGAGTAGCTTAACAGTCAAGTCCCTCTTCACAGGGAACTCGGGAAACTGTAGCTCTGGGAGAGGAGTAGGGGTCTCACAGCAGCTGTCAGCACCCTTGACAAACTACAACTCCCAAGATTCTTTGGGGGAAGACATTGAGTGTATGAAGTAGTATGATACCACTTTATGGTGTGACTGTGGCCCAGGCCTCCTCTAATAGCTTGTGTGAACTGTTGCCAAGGGAGGTGTACCGTATTTTTTGCACCATAACACTCACTTTTTTCCTCCTAGAAAGTAAGGGGAACTGTCTGTGCGTGTTATGGAGCGAATGCCTATGGATGGCGGGGGGATCTGCTGCAGTCGTGAGCAGAGGATCCATGGTTCCCCTTCCTTCCCTCCTCCGTGGCTCGCTTTGAAACAGCAAAGCGGGAGAGGAGCCGCTGAGGGAGGAGGAGAGAGAGACAGACAGCCTGCTTGCTTTAAAGGAGCAAAGCGGGAGAGGAGAGGAGCCGCTTACATGAGTGTAAGCGACTCCTGTCCGGTTGGCTCCTTTAAAGCAAGCAGGCTCTCTGTCCCTCTCTCCTCCCCACTCGCTAAATAACAGCAAAGATTTTTCAAGTAGGCTCTCTGTCTCTCTCTCCTCCCCACTCGCTAAATAGCAGCAAAGATTTTTCAAGCAAGCTCTCTGTCTCTTTTCCTCCCCACTCGCTAAATAGCAGCAAAGTTTTTCGCAAGCAGGCTCTCTGTCTCTCTCTCTCCCCACTCCTCTTATAAGAGCCTTCTCCTCTTACACCCCTCTTCTGCATTATTAACAGCATCCTTCTCCACCCCATGCGTGTTCCTTGTCCCTTGAGTGCTTTTCCTTCCCTCCCCACTTAAAACATGGTTACAAAGCACGGATCCACACGAATCCTCAGGATTTTTTCACTGGGTCACCCCAAATTCACCATCAGATCACATAGCATGTCCATGGCTACAGCTTGCACCAAAAAAATCATGCACCCACTGTTGCCTGGGGCCGCAGTGGTGCAAAAACGTGGTTACAAAGCACGGATCCACATGGATCCTCAGGATTTTTGCATTGGGCTACCCCAAACTCACCGTCAGATCACATGTCTGTGGCCACAGCATGAACCACAAAAATCATACATCCACTGTTTCGTTTAGAATATTTTTTTTCTTGTTTTCCTCCTCTAAAAACTATGTGCGTGTTATGGTTGGGAGCGTGTTATAGAGCGAAAAATACGGTAAGCTCCTCCCAGACTTTTCCTAGTATGTACTGATTGGTTCATGGTTCAGAATTCCAATTGCCTTTCTCCCAATCAGTGCAATAAAAGAGGCTATGTGTTGATTGGTTGCACTCATGATTAACTGAGCAGCATTCGTATTTTTTAAAAGGCAGGTTTCTCTCACTTTCTAAATTAATAATAATAATAATAATAATAATAATAATAATAATAATGCAGAAGCATGTTTCTTCATATAGAGACTTGTAGCCTTGTTCCCTTTTCTCTTGAACCAATGATCAATTGTCCGATTTGGAAGATTTATGCCTGTTGCACCACTCTTAATTACTGATAATAAAAATTTAGGGGCTATACTTTGGCCAAGCATCCAGTTACAGCAAAATAGAAATTAGAGGTCAGAACATCAAATATTTTATGCCCTTTATGAATATGAACAAAAGCTTCAATCCTATGCTGATCCGTGAGTAAACACACTTGAACCTGTGAGTAAACATGCACAGAATTGCACTGGAAGTTAATGCAACCTTTTTTGTTTGGCCACATTCTACATTTGCTTCTACCAATCACTTCATGGCTCTTTGGCTCCATGCACAGATAAGTGGGATAAACCCCTCACCCCAAACAAATAGAAATTAAGTAAAGCAAATACTCCCTTTTCCTAATTAATTTTACTATGTTTGTATCTTGCATTACACTCAGGCTTTTATTTTGCCCTACACTGGCTTCAGCTATAAAAGGGTTGAAGTAAGAAAAATGAACCCCGGTGCTTAATGGAATCTCTTGAAAAGCTGAACAAAATATTTATAGGCTCCGCATGGATTATGAATGCCTCATGAAGGACTGAGAAATGAAGGATGGGAGTTGAAAACTTGGCAGGTGCGGCCTTGCCAACACTGAACCCACCAAAGGGGGAAATGGCACCCCGCTGACTTCACTTTTGCTCTCTCTGACCCCTTTGTAGAATAATAATAATGATGATGATGATGATGATGATGATAATAATTTTTATTTATACCCCACCCTCCCTGGCCAGAGCCGGGCTCAGGGCAGCTAACACCAGTAAAATTACAATAAAAACATAATGGGGGGGGGGAAACAATTTAAAATACAGGTTAAAATGCAATTTAAAATGCAGCCTCATTTTAAAAGTAGCCCATAGATCAAAACCGTGAGGGCAGGGAAACAGAAGGGTCAGACTGAGTCCAAACCAAAGGCCAGGCGGAACAGCTCTGTCTTGCAGGCCCTGCAGAAAGATCTCAAGTCCCGCAGGGCCCTAGTCTCTTGTGACAGAGCGTTCCGCCAAGTCGGGGCCAGTACTGAAAAGGCCCTGGCCCTGGTTGAGACCAATCTAACCACCTTGCGACTTGGGACCTCCAAAATGTTGTCATTTGTGGACCTTAAGGTCCTCCGCGGGGCATACCAGGAGAGGCGGTCCCATTGCTGATGCTTTTGTTGGGACTCCCAACTCCCTTCACTCCTAGCTATTGAACAGGTTGCCTAGAGGGGGTGGGAACTGGGAATCCAACAGTATCTGGAGAGCCACAGGTTCCCCACCCCGAATTAAGAGGAGCATGGCAGCCAGTGAACCCGTCACCCTTCTCCATGCCTCTCCTGCTAAGCAAAATGCACAGAGGTGCCATGCCACAGATTTAAGAGCATAAGAAGAGCATTGCTGATGGGTCAGACATGGGGATTTCCCTCTCCTATAGTTGCTTCCCAGCAGCTGAATTGCTAGATTCTTTGGGGTGGTAGGTGGATGGATAGATGGGGAGAAGCAAAAGGGAGGCCTGTATGATTTCCTTCTGGTATCTGATTCCAGGATCTCTTTAATGTTTCCCTACAGTATACTGAAAGCGACAGTCTCAGTAGGGCTCCAAGGCAGGGCTTCTGTGTTCTATAATCTGGTGGTGGTTGTTGTTCTTAGTTTTAAAAAAACCCAAGTTGTTTTCTCTCGCTGTGTGTTGTTGGGGTTTTTAAAGGGCGGGATAGGTAAGTCCTCTCTGCTTTTAAATGTCAGCATTAAACTGTTACCAGCTGCCTCTCGGCGTAAAAGGTCTTTGAGGGCAAACGCTCTCTGTAATTCAAAGGCCAGGCGTACTTTCCCCGTTATTTCCTACTGAGACCCGTGGCCTGCAAACCGTCTCCGAGATCCTCTTGACCTGCGCCTCTGAAACTTAACAATTCCCTTAGATTTTGTGCGTGTGTAAAGAAGCCCTGGAAAAAGGGTATTTTCTTTTAGATCTTGTGCAAGCTTGCCTCTTAAATTAGTTAAAAGTTCTCATTTCTTCCCTGGAGTCCTTTGGCTCTGAAGCGAAGCTGCAGTCCTCAAAGCAGCACTGACCAGAAAAAAAGAGAGAGAAAGGTTTTAGAGAAAGGAGAAAGTGTTTCAGAAAATTGCAGATCAGAGCTTGGCAGGGGCTTCTCCAACCCCACCCCATCTGAAGGAAGTGATGTTTTATTCTGTTATCTCTATTGACAGACGAAGCTTTTCTTTTCAGATTCAGAATATCAAGCAAACAAACAGCGCTCTGAAAGAGAAACTTGAAGGAGGAGTCGAACAATATCGGCTGCCAGAGGTAACTTTATGTCCTAGTGGAATTTGAACCAAAGGAGGGAGGGTGGGTGAGATGGCAGCTGTGCTGAAAGTCTGTTGGTTTCATGTGCGCTAACTGGTGATAAATTCATATGAGTTCTCATTTTGATGCGTCTTTACCAAATTCACGCATCCTGAACCAGCAGTGCAGATTGAAACACATGTTTCCTTTCAAATTCATCTCCAAACTTGGAATGCAAGTCAGCAGTAGCAGCAACAACAAAAATGCATACAAATATTATATATATATTAGAGGAAATTGCCACACTCATCTTGGCTCTGGTCTTGCCTACTCCCGCCCTGCAGGCTAACAGGAGAGGATGCAGGGCTTCCATGGGAGGGGGGGGGGAAGGTTCTGCACCTTTTTAGCAATGCAGGAATAAGCCTTGGGGCTCACATGCTCTCCCTTCTCACTCCTCCTCCCGGTGCAGCCATGCAGAAGAGATTAGGAGCATCTATGTGCACTTCTGCGTAACCAGAGTTCTGGTCTATGTCTGGACTCTGAGCACCACTTGCTGGGAATTGCAGGCTGCTGTTCTCATATTCCCCTTGCAGGCTTTTGCCCAGGCATCGCTGGTTAGTCATTGTAAGTACTAGATGGCCCACTGGCTTTGATCCAACAGACTCATCTTACATTCCCATGAACTATGGTTAGCTTAAACTATGGTTTGTTCAAACACGTTGGGATCAAAGCATGTCACGATCCTGGCGCCAGATTGAATGGAGTATAGCCAGCTCCCCCCTCCAGACTTTCTCATATGAGACGAGGAGTTCAGGATTTGTTTGTTTTTTTAATGATTTTATAGGTTGTGTGGCTTTGTTTCTGAATCTGATCCTTCTACATGGTTTTGTATGCATTGTGGTATTTTATATATTGTGACTTGCAGTTATTTTGATTCATCATAGCCTAGTAATTATTTATTTACAGGTAGGTAGCCGTGTTGGTAGGGACGCGGGTGGCGCTGTGGGCAAAAGCCTCAGCGCCTAGGGCTTGCCGATCGAAAGGTCGGCGGTTCGAATCCCCGCAGCGGGGTGCGCTCCCGTCGTTCAGTCCCAGCGCCTGCCAACCTAGCAGTTCGAAAGCACCCCTGGGTGCAAGTAGATAAATAGGGACCGCTTACTAGCGGGAAGGTAAACGGCGTTCCATGTGCTGCGCTGGCTTGCCCCGGCCTCTTAAGTGAGATGGGCGCACAACCCTAGAGTCTGTCAAGACTGGCCCGTATGGGCAGGGGTACCTTTACCTTAGCCGTGTTGGTCTGCCGTAGATGAAACAGGATAAAATTTTTTTCCTTCCAGTAGCACCTTAGAGACCAACTAAGTTTGTTATTAGTATGAGCTTTTGTGTGCATGCACTGTGTATCTGAAGAAGTGTGCATGCACACGAAAGCTCATACCAGTAACAAACTTAGTTGGTCTCTAAGGTGCTACTGGAAGGAATTTTTAAAAAATTATTTATTGCAATTGTTAAGAGTGAACTTCTGTTTAATTATTAACTGTTAATGTTTTGAGAGTTGATTCTGTTTTTTACTATCATATTCTAATAGATCACTGAATATTACTTTGTTTGATATAAGTCTTTCCATTTCAAAGTTCCGTTTTATTATTTCTTTCTGTAGTGGATCAGATTATTATAATGTGTGTGTTCTTTGTTGCACATTTCATTGCTGTATACCGCCTTGTGTATAGTAACATACACAAAGCAGGCATAACATTGAGAGAGCCTGACATTGAAGCTCAAGTGAGTCACCATGGACCAGTCATAAGCTCTCGGCCGAACCACTTCACAGGGTTCTTGTGAGGATGAAAGGCAGGGTTGAATCACGTCTGCCATCTTAAGCTCCTTGGTGGAAGGGAGGGCTATAAATAAAATTTCATAGAAGCCTAGTTTTAACATGAAACTCTGTTGGGGTGGTGTTTGAAGCGAACTTGTTGGAGATGGCCACCATCGCTCAATGGCAGAGCATTGACCTTGCATGGAGAAGGTCCCAGGTTCAGTGCCTAGAATCTCTAGGTTGGGCTGGAAGAGATTTCCTGAGCTTAGATCACCTGCCCACTTCAACCCCTCCTTCTTCCCTGCTGTCAGTCAGCAGTTAATTCAGATAATGAATTGCTTCTGTCGTTTGACTAAATATATTCTTTCTTTCTTTCTTACCGCTCAGAGGAATAATGGGGACTTTGTTTAACAAATGACTGTTTTCCTCTTGCAGCTCAAGCAATTTGTTCAACTTTTTCATTTGTGTACACTTGTCAGGCTCTGGGTTTGAAAGCAGATCTGTTACCTAAGTAAATGATTCCTTTTCTTTCTCGTGACACTTAGGTTACGCTGAAATGCAATGCGCGCTGGACCACCGACGAGCAGCTTCTTGCTGTACAAGGTACAGTGCCAGAAACCCATTTTTGTGCGTTGGAGGGTGGCTCTCAGTCCCCGGGGTAGTCAACGTGGAGCCCTCCAGATGTGCTGGAGACTCCCAACTCCCATCAGCCCAAGCCATCAGGATCAAAGATCAGGGAGGATGGGAGTTGTAGTTTGCCATATATAGTGGGCACCCTGTTTCTTCGTGATGGGGAACTTCCACATTGATAACAAAGAATTTATCCTGTAGTGGTGCAACTTCTCCAGCATTTAGGTGAGGTTTTGGGTGTATCAGCGCCAGCTTCCGAGGTGTTAGGTACCACCTATAAATTAGTTTCAAGGTGAATTCCCTTCTTTGGGCTGAGATGAGCTTAAAGGGTGGTTTAAACCAGTGGGTGGGGTTTATTTCGTAACCTATATCATGCTCCCATTGGACTTTGATTGCATTGAGGGATTTTTGTAGGGTCTTGGACTAGTATTTTGTAAATAGAAGTGTCTCACGTCGAATGCAACCGACCTGTAGAAAGGACTCTATGCATTGAAAACAGAGCCGTTGCATGTACCCTTGTTAACTAAAACCTTTGTTAATAAAAACATTTTTTAAAAGAAAAAGAAAATCAGAGAGACTTTATCTACTTTCCTACTTAATATTATCAAGAGGCTCCTGGTGTCATCACTGCATGTCTTTAGGCTCTAGGCAAAAACATTCCTCTTTATCCAGGCCTTTGGCCATTAGGTAACCTGTGGCCTTTTAAAGGTGTTGGGGACTGACAGTTATTATGATTGTTTTTATTATTATGCTATCTTTTACTGTGCTTTTATGTTCTTCTTATGATGCCCTGTAAAATGTTTAATGTTGTACGCTGGGATTTTTTGATAAAGGGCTGTATATAATTATTATTATTATTATTATTATTATTATTATTATTATTACTTACTGTAAACCATCATGGTAGTTTGGAGGGTGTCTGGTTTGCAATCTATGGTTGAGGATTGCTCTGTGATAGCTCAGCTCTGGCTCCACCCAGGTAGCGATGCCCAATGCAGTTTCGCAAGTCACAGGTGGAGTTTGCTAGCAAAGAAAAGAGGCCTATACATTTGTAGCACTAGTCATTATGAACATTCACTCAAAGGACTTTTAGCTAGGAGCTAAGTGGCACCTTAAACCTAGGTTATGGGCTCAACAATGGAATGTCCAGGCACGCTTTTTTAATAACAAAGAATACAAAGCTGAAAAGGAATGAACTGCAGCTGAAATATTACGTTAATTTTTCACATGGTCTAGTCCTTCTCCTGCCCACCCCCCTAATATTCTTAAGAGGGTCTCTTCTCCAGTTTTCAGAGAGTAGCTGGAAGTGGGGAGGCAGAAAAAGGTCCTCCTTTCCTTTCACTATGCAGCTTTAATCTGAAATCTTAGGCGTGGTACTGCGCCGGGAGCTCAGAAACTGCTTGGGTTGATGAAATTCCCCATCACAGAATGCGCCTAGAGCAATGAGAGTTTTGAACACTGGATGAAAGTGTTGGGGCCAAGCACACTTCTAAGGGGAAGGCATTTCACAAGCAGAACATCCCTGCAGAAAAGGCACTTTCTTGGACCACAGCGTAACACGCCTCCCACAACAGTGGTGAACAGAGAGGACAAGTATTGGTTGTGGTGCTTTGGGTCTGTTTACTTCTGTTTTCAGTAAAGTTTGACTGATATTTTACAGGTTCTTATTAGCTAGCATAGAAAAGTGAAACAAAAAGGGATTGGAGATAAAACAAAAAGCACACAGCTTGCATAGATCCGCTTTTCTTTGTGCAGTTTATATATATATATATATATATATATATATATATATATATATATATATATATTTGCTTTCGTAGATTTTCACGGGTACAGGAATGCAGGTTTTGGTGTCCTCGGGTGTCTTCCCGTGTAAAAGTTGGGGTGTCTAGGCGACGTTTCGACGAGGTCTCACTCGTCATCTTCAGGCTGGTGCTTTCGGCTTCTTGTTACTGGAACAGAGCAGGATCTCAGTGTTTGAGTTCCTATAAATACTGTTGAGGGGGTGTGGTGTATAGCCTCCAATGTTCTGGGCAGAGAGGAAGTTCCCAGGCTAGTGTGCCTTTTCTTCTTTTGTTCCTTAATTACTTGAGGGATATCTTGAGTGATTTCTTGAGTGATATCCTGAGTACCACTTAGGTGGGTCATTAGGTGTGGATTAGTTGCTAAAGCCTTCGTGTCTTGACCTCTTGAACTTTGTGAAGAGTTTTATATATAATATAGAGTGCATGCAGTCCTGGTTGCATTTCTTAAATCTTTTTTCTGACTTTTAAAGTTTTGTGGGCTGTTGCCTAACAATGGTGACGAATTTTATTTGTTCCATTCATACCTAGTAGCGCCTGTCATGCATTTGATGCAATGCAGTCCTAAGTATTGTCGGGCCAGGAACAATTTCAAAATTTTATTTTGTGTTTATCGTTTCGTTTATATGCCCACCCTTCATTAAGAAATCTCAAAGCTGTTCACAAATTGCCATATAGATACATGAACGCAGAATAAACAATGAAACACACTGAAAAAGAAACGACCTGCAAACCATGGTGCAAATTTCGAACGGCTTCACATAAAAAACCTATAGTCAGAAAAGATCTGAAGACCCAGAAAATGTATATCAAAAGGGCTCAAAAGCCTGGGTGAAAAGTTGCACCTTAAGTTGTTTGCGGAATTGAAAGCTCAAAGATGCAGAGATGCAGAGAGTTCCATGAGGAGGGTTCTGCTTGACCTTATGATATTTCCAGTGTTTACTATGAAATATTTATGAAATCTGTTTTAAACAGAGTGTGCTGCTATTGAGAAGGCCACCGTTCCTTGAGCATAGCCCCCTGGCGTGACCATGGGCAGGATCCTCTTCAAAGAGTTAATAAAATCAGAGTTGCAGAGTTGGCAGGGGAACTCTGAGGATCATTTAGTCCATCCCCCTGCAATTCAGGAATCCCAGCACACAGTCCCCACACCCACCCACCATACTGGACTTGGGTGATCTTGGGCCAGTGGAGAGGATGAAATGGGGGTGAATGCATACTGCTCTCAGCACTTTAGAGGATGATGGGAAGGATAGAAACGTAATGTAACGCAGGACACAGTGTCCCAACAATACAAATTCAAGCATCATGTGTCTTTAGTAGTAGTAGTAGTAGTAATAGTAGTAGTAGTAATAATAATAATAATAATAATAATAATAATAATAATAATAATAATTTATTTCTACCCTGCCCATCTGGCTGGGTTTCTCCAGCCACCCTAGGTGGCTTCCAACAAAGATTAAAAATGCATTAAAATGTCACACATTAAAAACTTCCCTGAACAGGGCTGCCTTCAGATGTCTTCTACATGTCAGGTAGTTGTTTATCTCTTTGACATCTGATGGGAGGGCATTCCACAGGGCGGGTGTCCCTACCGAGAAGGCCCTCTGCCTGGTTCCCTGTAGCAATAATAATACAGTGGTGCCTCGCAAGACGAAAAGAATCCGTTCCGCGAGTCTCTTCGTCTTGCGTTTTTTTCATCTTGCGAAGCAAGCCCATTAGCGGATTAGCGCTATTAGCGGCTTAGCGGGCTTAGCGGATCAGCTGATAAGCGGCTTAGCGGATCAGCTGATAAGGCGCTTAGCGGATCAGCTGATAAGTGGCTTAGCGGCTTGGGAAAAAGGGGGGGGAAGGGAAAAAACCCTGCAGGAACTTGCAAGACATTTTCGTCTTGCGAAGCAAGCCCATAGGAAATTCGTTTTGCGAAACACCTCCAAAATGGAAAACCCTTCCGTCTAGCGGGTTTTCCGTCTTGCGAGGCATTCGTCTTGCGGGGCACCACTGTAATTCATTAAAACTTTAAAGGCTTCCATTATTGCGCTGATAATAACCTTAGCACCTCTTCTCCTTTTCTCTAGCCATCAGGAAATACGGTCGAGATTTTCAGGCAATCTCTGATGTGATTGGAAACAAGTCTGTGGTGCAGGTGAAGAACTTTTTTGTAAATTACCGGCGGCGTTTTAACATAGACGAAGTCCTACAGGAGTGGGAAGCAGAGCATGGCAAAGAAGAGACGAACGGAACTAGTACGCAGAAACCCGTAAAGTCGCCAGATAATACCATTAAAGTTTCTGAAGAAGAAGATGAGGTAGGAGGGATATAACTTGAGTTCAATCTTGATTTAGTTCCCAAAAACATGACAATCAGTTCCTTGGCAGAACCGGCCCCTTTTCGGATGGTGTTTTGCTAACATTATTACTTAGCGGTGTCATTTGGAAGCTGGCCAGTCATATATTATCAGCTAACTGCCTGTGGTTTTGACATGTTTGGAGAACGTCAAATATTCACTGGAGCCAAGGATAGCCTCGAGGCCAGCAGAACGAAGCAAAAGTTTGCTCTGCGGCAACTTTTTAACACAGGATGCACAGAGCATGGCAAAAGAAAAAAGATCGTTCTGGGTTCGGCGTGTATCTTATTTATTTATATTTTATTTTGTAGACTTTAATGCTACCTTTTGTCAATCACGGAGCTGGTAGAATTAAAGCCTACTTTCCAACCGCTGTTCCACAAATTGGGTTGCATTTTGGGGGGGGGGGAATGAAAGTACAAGTTAAATTATCTTGGCAACAATAAAACTTTATAACAGGGACAGATTAAAATAGAAAGTTGGCAGCCTCCAAAGATTGTGTGTGGCTAACCTGGGGGGCGTCTAGCATGTACATGGAAGATCATTGTCTTTCTCAGGTCTGATTTAAACACACTGTCCACCAAGAACTTTCTTTGTGACTCCGCGTCAAAATTTTGTTGAATTTTCTGTAAAATCTATGACAAGAAAGTGGCTGGTGGAGGGCCTTGGGGGTAATGCGGCTCCCCACATGTGAGGAGGATATTTATACCCTGCCCTTCTGACTGGATTGCCCAAGCAACTCCTCCTCCTCCTCCTCCTCCTCCTCCTCCTCCTCCTCCTCCTCCTCCTCCTCCTCCTCTTCTTCTTCTTCTTCTTCTTCGCAGCTTACAGATAAAAAGAAGAATCGCTAAACACATAGAAGAAACAATCACTAAGGCACAATTGAACATTAATAGAATTAAAACTACACACACACATAGAATCTGTTTAAAACATGCAAATAATTATGGCAAAAACAGCGCAGCACCAACCCTTTAGTTAAAAGCAGTCAGTTCCCCAAAAGCTTGGTTGTTGCTATTGACAAAAACAGTGAAAATCAATTCGTTTATTCTTGACATTGTTCAAATGATGGCAGGTCTTATGGCGGCTTGTGAGAGTGAGGTGCCTTCCTCAGTGGGGAGATACCTTTGTTTTTGGGCAATGTGCTTTGCGTTGGGCTTCCCTGAGGACCCCTTTGGGAGTTCCTACTGCAGCCTGCTTTGTGATAGAAGCAGGGAGAACCAAGACTCATTCGCCTGCCATGGTGGCAGCTGCACCAGCATACGATTTACTTCCAAGCAAAATTCAAGTTCTGGTTTTGACCTTCCAAGACCTTTGGTGGCCTAGGACCCACATGTCTCAGAGGGTGCATGTCTCCATATGACTCCCCTCCCAGTAGGGGGGGGGCCTCACTCATGCGTTTCCTCCATGGAATGTTGATTTCCTGGGAAAGTGCACCCAAACACTTTCGTTTCTCTGATCTGTCAGGCCCAATTTCTAAAGCTTCCCTTTCTAACGAGTTCGGATGGAGCTCGACTTTTTCATATCGTTTCTCTCCCCCTACCCTGTTCCATTGCTTTGTGAGCTTGACGTGCGTGCGGCTTTTATATTTGTTTTGACTCTATTATGGAATATCTCGAGTGTTGTGCATGAGACATAATAGACATTTATAAATCTAGGGCCCAGGGGGTTTTGAGGTTGACATTCCTGCCTCATCTCCCTCCCTTCTTATGTTCTGCTGAAAGCCGTGCCATTGACAAGAGTGGCAATGCAGCTTGACGTTTCAGCTTTCTGTTTGTTTATGAATATTGACTGAGAAACCCGTGAATGATGTCTCGGAGCAGACGGGAACTGCCAGCTCCTTGCTCTCAATTCAGCCATCTGTGGGTTTCCCCCCCTCCCCTCATTTTGGTGCCTGCTACCTTTGATTCCTTGGGGACAGGATACGAGGCTTGGAAATCTGACCTCTGTGTGAGTCGTCCGATTTTAATGTTGTGTCTCCCTTCTCTTTCCTCCTCCAGGCAACTTCTGTTTTGGATGTCAGATATACATCCGCATCATGAGAAACTCAGGTAGCCTAGAACAATGTTGATGTTTTGACTACTGTTGGTTATCCATGATATCAGGTATTAGCAAAGCCTCAAGACAGCCATCATATCTCCGTGGACAAGCAGCTATTACCAAAAAGAGAGAAGAGAGAAGAAGAAGAAGAGAACAAATCACAAACCAAGGCAAAAACACTTCTGCTCCTGTGCTACATTTGCCTTAATTTTCTCCTCATTCCTACATACTGCCTCCATTTGCTCTTATGCAGTTCCTGGGACAAGCTCTCTGCCCTTCAACAGCACCCAACTTCAAAGCATTAGCTTCTCCTTGAGCCATCTACGCGCCGGCATGCAAAAAACCTCTTACCAGCCAGCTCTCCTCCCCCTCCTGCTCCTCCCCACGCTCAGAGGTTGACCCCTAAAACCAGGGACCTTTCTAAAACTTGCTCCCTAGTAGTATGTATTTCTGTACGGCCTTGTGTGGTTTCAGCTTACTTTATGGCGTAATCATTATTCTTCTTACAGTGACATTTTAAAATCTTTTTCTTTTTCTTTAAAAAAAATTATATACATACATATATATATATATGAATGAACTCTCCATCAAAAAGATGTGTTGAGCATGTGCTAGGTTGGCCCGGTGACTTCTCTGAAGTCAGGGGACCTAGCAAGTAGGTAGGATTTCAGGGCTGCAAGCGGTAGACCATCCGCCTCCTAGCACATGCAGAAGCTGTATTCTGCTCCTTTTTATTTTTAAAGAAAACTCCGTTCTTTATTGTGATTTCTATTATCGTCATTATTATTGTCGTAATGGACCTTCTTACTTAGTGCAAAAGGGAATGTGCAGCCTATAACCTGCTTTGGAACAATCTGTTGGTCGATCGATGTATGTGCACCCAAACACCCGTGTTCTTTCATTATAACCTCCCAGCGAATGCTGACACAGCTGAGTTCCTTTGACCGTCTTAAGGGGTTAGGGCAAAAGCAGCAGCCTTTGCCATTCGCTCCAGGGTTCTTCTGCATCTGTTTGATACTTCTGTCGTCTTAAGGAAGGGACTTTGCGCCCCACCGAAGTGAACAGAGGCTGCACAGTCTCTGCGCTTGGCAAATGGCTTGCTTGGCCATGACATTGCGATGCAAATTAGGATAGAGAGCTTCAGTCCTTTAAAATGTGTGTTTGAAGAGAGGGGACACACACCCTGTCCCCTTTCTCCCACCCCAAGAGCTCCTTCAAGCTGCTGTCGCTTAGTTCCTTCCAACACGCAGAGCCCAGCTGTGTGGCAAAGGCCGTTGTAGCAAGTTCCACTTCCTAGGAGCTGGGATGGAGCTGGCTTGAGGAAGAGAGGTTGGAGGTTCCTCCTCCTTAGACTTCTGAACTCGGCAGTATGGAGGCGGCGTGGGTACCAAAGGAGCCCTTCAGCTGAAAGATGTAGGACGTAGCGTTCTTAAATATTTTCATTAGCTGTAATAACGATGCAAAATTAAATAATTTTAATCAGGGATGTCCAGGGGTTAATTTATGTGCGCGTGTTTTTAGTTGACTTCATTGCCACAGTACCCTTAACGTAGAAATCAATTTCAAATAAAGTTGCAACCTCAATATGCACGGCTTTTTGAGACGCTGAGGGCGAAGGGGGGGGGGTTAATTTGCAATTTAATAAACCTACCGCTCGTTGGACGGAAAAAGAGCTATCTTTAATACTTTTCTCTTACCATGCCCTTTTTTACGGCAGCAGCTGCAAATGTACATGTGTGCCCTTCGCTGGTAGTCACGCTGAATTTAAAATTTGCCTCTGCCTTCTAAAGTTGACACACACAAACCCTGCCTACGAACTAACCTGCCGATCAAAGCTTGCTGTCCTAAGACACGTTCTGTTTGGTACACCAAACGCCACTGCAAATATATGGGGGAACAGGTCTTCTAGTAATAACCCTTGTTTCCTGAGGTAATGTAAACGCCTTATTTTTGGAAGGGTCTGTCCCTTCTGTTTTGATAATTAAAAATATATGCAGTAAAAGCACAAGAGGTGGCTTATTCCTTACGACATGCATTAGCCAGTGTAAGCATTTTAACCATTGTGGTGTACTTAGGTGGCTCTGAAGCTTTTTAAAAATATAATAATAATATAACAGTAATAATAACTGGGGACTTCTACTATGCATGAGAAGGCAGAACTGCACTTTATCATAATTTTCAGTGGCTGAGCTGAAACCACAAGGGAATTGCAATCGGCTGGTAGACAAATTTCATTGAAAATAATAGCCCAACCAGCTGCCCATTTTGCCCTGATTGCAGGGATGAAGGACCTTGTGGTCCTTCAGATGGTGTTGGACCTTAGCTCCCATCATGCCTGACCTTGCTGGCTAGGGCTGATGGGAACTGTAGTCCTGCCAAATGTGGCAAGCAACAGGTTCCTCGGGTCCCTAGCATAGCGGATCCTGAACAGCCAAGATCAAGACTAATTCTAGCCACTTGGAAGCACCTTTTAAACAAGACTTGCTTCATAGCAGCTGCCTGATGGTGAAATGTTGGAGAAGTCGAGATATATAATGTTGCTTGTTTTCTTATCCAGGGTTCAAAACAAGAGGAGAATACATAGATAACACCAAAAATCATGAAGAAACAATAAAGCTTTTTGAAAAACAACGCCAGCTAGTCTACTGAGGAACAGGGAAATTGAAAAACACTAGTGCGCAAATGACAAAATCTTGGCCTCCTTCCTTTGCTCCTAAGTGACACCTCCTTGTGCCTGAGCTATCTCATCTAGATTACGATCTCTGGGAACCATTTCTTCCCCTTCTTTAAATCCTCACCTATCCATATTGAATTGAGTCTGTTCCCTGCCAGGCAAGCTTGTAGAAAGTAGCTGCTTCCAAGAGACGTGGTGAAGAATAATTGGCGTGTTTTAACAATGTTCTACATTGAAAAGGTTATGGGTTTGGATTTCCACCTAGTAATTTATTTATTTTTAAAAACAACAACCCTGGCCTGTCCTTTTCAAAAAAATCGAGCCACAGCACTAGGCAGTGTGCAATTTTATATTTTTAAAGAAAATCTATGTAAATGTTTTATATTAAATTAGCAAAGGATATAATAGCCAGGTTGGTTTGAACGGTCTGCCTCAAATCCATACTGTCGGAGAGCTGAAAGGTATGATCATGTGATGAATATGTTGCTGGACATTTGAGATTGCTGGTTGGGAGAGATTTGAAGACTCTTCCACGTAGAGAACTTTCATGCCAGAGAGTGAGGCCAGAACATGTTAAGATTGTATCTCTAGGGAGCATTTATGTTGAGTAACCTCTCCTCTACAGCTGAAGTGGTACAGTCTTGACAGTGGACCTACTGATCATGTGGTTTAACTCAGAGTACAAGCCTGTTTCACTGTTCCCTTCAGCAAGCCTACCAAACATTATCAGAAAAAGATCGGGTTTTGGCTTGATCCCTATCCCAGGAAGAGAAATCATGTCTTTGCCTCTTCATGATTACCTTATTGTAAACCTGAATACAATAAAACATGTATTCCCCTCCCCACCAATAAAACATGAATTCCCCTCCCCACCATTAATTGAATATCACCTGCAACTGTTCCAGTATGAAACGGGGGAAATATTAACTTTCGGTTGTTTTCTTTGTTTCATAGTCTTGTCTCCTATATGGAAAAGCTTAACCTTTCAGTTCAAGCATTCACGTTCCGAGGCACCACGTTCTGATTTAGAAAGGTCCACAAAGATTGCTACATATTACATGTAATATTTGCTTAAATTTTGTTTCCTTAAACTATCAGTGTGGATGTTATAATTATATATATTTTGTGGAAGATGGGAAGTTTTCGTTTCCTTCTAAGTATAAGTTATTGTGCAACGACGGCTTCGTTACGACAAAAAGTGGTACTTTTTTATTAAAAAAAGACTTTTAGTTTTAGAAATCTTAACAAATGTACACATGCGCCATAATTTTACGTTTGTTCTATTTAATTTCTAAGTATAGTTGTGTAACATGCCAGTACATTTTTCTCCCCATTTCTTCCCAACCTGCTCTGCTTATCCATCAGGAGGCCTTGTTTATTTGAATATTGTATCCTAACTGGTCTGAAACATGGCGATCGAACTCTTTAATCTAGAGCCAAGGGAAGACGAGATATTTGCAAGAGACGTTGTACGTTGAACTTAACACAGCTTAGGGAAATGTTGTACAATCATATGCTCAGCAGCAGCTACAACTGGCAAAGCAGCCATAAGGGTTGCCCTCGTACATATTTCAGGGATTTATTTCGTTTTGTGGGGGTGTTTTTGCAGTTTCCCCCCTTTGAAACGCATCTGTGTGTTGAGGAGAGGGAGGGAATTGTGGCCCTTGGCCCCAATCCCTGACCTTCATGCAGCTCCTCCCCATCCCTGTTTTCCAGGGGTTGGCAGAATGTGTGCAAAAGGCCTTATGCTCATGCACAGATCTATGGAGTCTTCAGTGTGAGTAGGGACCTTGCACAGCCAGGCTCTTTGATCATGCGGATAGAAGCCATCTGTGTATAGACGCCCTTTTCATACATTCTGCTGAAGACGCCATTTTAACTGCTCTTCCACTCCATGTAGTCAGCATATGCATGGAGGGAAGGTGGAGCAGAAGGTCAGTCTCTGCCTTCTAGTCTACTAGTTGTCTGGCAACCTGCCTTGCAATACCGCCCAGGAAGTCAGGGGTCTCCTCCACGCAGCTCCCAGAAAGGTCAGGTAGGACCAGAGAACCGATGGCGCCCATCCTCGATCCTGGAGGTGATAATTTTGCCCTCCTGTTCCACAGCCCCAAGCGGCCCACTGCAAAGATGTACCAGGAATTCCAAACAGCATGATCTCTGTTCCAATGCCAGACAACACCGTGTTCAAACGTTCTGATAGATGAGTCGCTGAGTCCCATGCATGGTGTTTGCAGTGGCCTCCTGGCAGGGATTGATGTATGGGGTTGCTGTTTTTCTCAGAAGCTTAATCCCATGTGAAGTAGTTTGTCATGTGGCATTGGTAGGCCAGGGAACGGATGCCATTTGAGAAGAATCAAAGGAAAAAAAATATAAGGCTCGCTTGAGTTCCAGAAATGACATTGGCTGTTGCGTGCATCTTGAAGTTGGGTAAAAATGGTAGCAAGTATTTTACAACTTTTTTGAGGGAAAGAGGAGGGATCTATCCTCAAATCGCCATCCTAGCCAGCAGTTTTGTTACTATTTACGGCTAAAATATGTCCGTTGTCATTTAACTCTTGGCTTTCGTTTAGATTCTCTCACACACTGCATGTTGTGTACCAGATATGATCCAAGCATTGGTTTGAAATAACCTGATTTCCTTGCAGTATAGACGGGTGTAAAAGGCTTTACTAATTTTGGAAGTTTCCGTTTTAAAATGGCAAAGTTTAATCCTCCTGGGACATTTTAAAAACTTGAACAAGGTAAAAACAAAATCAGTGTCCCTGTTTTTATGAGTTTCAATTAGCTGTAGTCTGTGTTTTTAGCTTGTCAAAACCGAGCCATCTTGTGCAGTGCCCTAGAACAGTGTTCCCCAATCTTGGGGCTCCAGCTGTTTTTGGACTACAACTCCCATCATCCCTCGCTAGCAAGACCAGTGGTCAAGGATGATGGGAATTGTAGTCCAAAAACAGCTGGAGGCCCAAGGTTGGGGAACACTGCCCTAGAATACCTGAGCCCCCTTCGGCTACTCCCCGAAAAAAAATGCTGCTTTTTGTGTGTGTGTCTCTGGGCCACATCCCACTTGCAATTATGATGATGCATAGCCTCCATTCGTTTCAGTGGTGCTTGAGCTGGAATCCTTTCCTTGCAAGCATCCCTGAAACAGAAGCAGCACCTGTTGGATAGCTGCCTCTGTGGGCAGCAAAGCACAATTAGCAGCGAAAGCGACAGTTCTGAAGAGAGAATGTCAGTATATGTCTGGGCATGTTGTATATTAATGAGTGTTTACATTCATATTCTCCTCAAATTTAAATTTATACTGGAGTGTATAGTTATTCCATTATGTAGATTTTATCAATTTTGTTAAATTCTCATAGACCGCTTACAAGGTCGATCCCCTCCCCTTCCCCCCGGACTTTCTGATGATTAAGGTTAAGTTTGCAAATATAATAAAATTCTGTATTAGCCTTTGAAGTGATACAATTATGCATCAGGGGTAGGTTTGTTTTTTTTAAAGTATGTATTGATAATGCTGTTGTAAGTAATATTATTCATCTCTCTCTCTCTTTTGTTGCCTGTTTATTTCCCTCCCTGCACATTATTTAGTACACTTAACTGTGATGAATGGTAATAGAATTATAAAACTGCTTAGCCACTGAAAATAATAGTTTTTCCTCCCCTACCCCTTGAATTATCATTTTACTGTAAGAGGAATTATGGCGGGGAGGGGAACTTGTGATTCTTTTCTGAAACTCTGCACAGTTCATTTTTCTATTATTTCCAATGTTTGCTGACATGAAATTAAAAAAACAAAAAACAAAACTCAAGCCATTGATGTGATGTACTGTGTGCTTAAAAGCCTCATCATTCCAAAATGGATAGGACTTGAGAATTGATTGCTTGTCCAGCGTGATTGGCGCCTCACTCTGTGAGAGACACAGGCCTGTTGCAGGTATCAGCAGCCAACACTTGAGGTGACCGAGATTATTATGGCCTGTCCTTAAGAGCCAAACCAAAACAAGCAGACCTCTTCTTTCCTAATAAGTCCCTTCTTGTAATCAATATGCAACTTCTATTTCTCCCATACTTAGGCTGTGTACACAGTACCTGCTTACAGTGCAGCTAAGCCATTCTTCTTACTTTGGATTGAGGCTGCTTTTCATAAGGAGAGACAGGATAGATCCAGATTCTGGCTCACGGGGATTTGTAAAGGCAGCTCCTGCCAGACAAACACAATGTGTTCTCAGGGAATAGTGTTGTGAGTGTTTGCAGAGCGAGTCTGCCGTTTCCATTGATTCCCATGAGGAAAATTCTATTGCGTTCCCGACTACGGGATTTGGACTCCAAGATAACGAATAAAACACCAGGACCACGCTTTAAAACCTTGCAAAAGGGAAACAAGGAAGGGAAAATATACTCTCTTATATGCCCAATCTCTCCTCCTCCCTCCCTGTGGGCTGCCTCAGACCCACAAAACAAAAAAGCAAGGTGGCTTATTTGTTTACAGTACTACACGCAGGTCCAGCAGTTTGGATATCTGAATCTGTGGTATGTCTAGTGAGGTTGGGGTACAAATTCCTTGTATTTGGATAGGTGAATTTTTTGTATAGCGAGCGTTTGGATAGCAGGACCTGTGTGCACAGCACTTCCCAAACCAGTGACGGAAGTGTGTACCCAGCCTTGATCTTCTCTTTCTTCGGGCCATATAAGAAAGAGCTGCGGGTCCACGGAGAAGCCAGAAGTGAGGAAACTCACGACAATGAATGCACACACTAATCGCTCCTGACAGAACCATCATTGGCCTGAGAGAACTCTTGGGCTAAGTGAGGCTGCCAGCACCTCTTCTTTTCAAGACGTAGCAGAACATAATCCTGTTTCAATGTCTTCCTTCAAAACAAAACAAAACCCCCAAATAGGCTTTAAATGTCATTAAAGGCTTTATTCCCATTCACCACCTCATATGTGTAAGGCATGTCACTTCAATAATACACACCATGTCCTCCTAAGCTGCTATCACTATTCCAGACGGCAACACACTTCTGCATTACTTAAAACAAGGATGTTCTATCAATTGTCAGAGTATTCCAAGCAAGCTCTTGATTCTCTGGTGAGTGTTTTGGATAACCAGGAAAGATCACTCTTGGGCTGAAGAGTAATGCTGTATCCAATAATCCTTTAAAAAAATCTCTATTATTTATCCAATAAATTTTAGCAAGGCTACAGTTCCACCGTAATCCCTCAGATTATGCTGTCAATATACATTAGGACAGTCGCACAGTTCATTCGGTCTCGCAGGGGCTCATTATGGTTGTAACATATAGACTATTATTTCTTATTATAGGTCAACACTTACAGAAGATGCATCCTACAGAAATGACAGTTTTGCCACTGGGAAGTGATTTTCCTTCCTTGCCGTTTATAGCGATCCAGTCTTGTACCCCGCAGGCTGCAAACTCACACTTTTAATTCACAAATTTAGCATTGCGTCTGCAAACATAGAAGCATTTGATTTAAACCATTGAAACGTCCCATTTTCAGACCATTTAAGAAATTAGGGTATCAGGTTATGGGCTACTATAGGCTGACTGGCAGTTCTGGAAGTTGCCCAGAAATTGTGATGACCAGACTCTTGATTCCTACCACTGAGGTCCCCAGCCCTTTTGTTGATGTCTTGTTCTGGGTTCATGGGGAAAAGTGGAAAGGCTGACTGGTGGCTGCAGCACCTAAGAGAGCTCCTCACAAAAGAAACCCAAACGAACGTATTACTCATGTGTAGGACATACCCCCATACAGACCAGAGTCAGTGAAGGTGGGGGCAAAGGGGGCACTACCCTACAAACGCGGGTGGCGCTATGGGTAAAAGCCTCAGCGCCTAGGGCTTGCCGATCGAAAGGTCGGCGGTTCGAATCCCCGCAGCGGGGTGCGCTCCCATTGTTCGGTCCCAGCGCCTGCCAACCTAGCAGTTCGAAAGCACCTTCGAGTGCAAGTAGATAAATAGTTACCGCTTACTAGCGGGAAGGTAAACGGCGTTTCCGTGTGCGGCTCTGGCTCGCCAGAGCAGCGATGTCACGCTGGCCACGTGACCCGGAAGTGTCTCCGGACAGCGCTGGCCCCCGGCCTCTTGAGTGAGATGGGCGCACAACCCTAGAGTCTGTCAAGACTGGCCCGTACGGGCAGGGGTACCTTTACCTTTACCCTACCCTACAAACATCAGCCTGCTCTCAGCCAGCTCCTGTTTTATGTACCTTCTTGCATATTTCAAACCTAGAAATTGACATAATCCTCCCTTTTGGAAGTCAAGTCTAATTAAAAGGCTTTCATGCACAATGCAGTGTCTCAGCTACTGGCTAGGCTTCCATTTGGAACATTGGAAAACATCTTCCTTGGTTGTCAGGTTCATTTCTGGACCCAATTAAAAGTGCCCGTGCCCTAAGTGACTTCGGTCACCAAATATCTGAAAAGCCTCCTCCTTCCCTACTGACATGTCTTGGGTGTGAAGATCAGCAGTGGAGACCCTTTTGGTAATTCTGCTGTCCTCAGATGTTCAGAGTGCGGTTGGCCAGGAGGAGATCTATTTTGTGGCAGCCCCTAAATTGTGGGTTTCCCTCACCATAGAGGTGCTCCTGGCACCTTCACGGTACAATTCTCATTGTATGCTGAAGGTGCGCCTCTTTACCCTAGCCCTAGACATGCGTTGTAATATCTTTCGTGACAGAAATGTGTTTCAAACACTATTTAAATTGTTATGACTTGCCTTGGGACATTGTGATGAAGAGTAGGTGATGAAGAGTAGGTAAAAGGTAAAGGGACCCTGACCATTAGGTCCAGTCGTGACCGGCTCTGGGGTTGCGGCGCTCATCTCGCTTTATTGGCCGAGGGAGCCGGCATACAGCTTCCGGGTCATGTAGCCAGCATGACTAAGCCGCTTCTGGCGAACCAGAGCAGCGCACGGAAACGCCATTTACCTTCCCACCGGAGTGGTACCTATTTATCTACTTGTACTTCGACGTGCTTTCAAACTGCTAGGTTGGCAGGAGCTGGGACCGAGCAATGGGAGCTCACTCTGTCACGGGGATTTGAACCGCCAACCTTCTGATCGGCAAGTCCTAGGCTTTGTGGTTTAACCCACAGCGCCATCCGCGTCCTTGAAAGAAAAGTAGACAATACTTCAAATTGAGAACAGGGTGTTAATGGGTGATACTCAACTAAGTTTTTCTCCAAAAAAGACCCATTGAAATTAATAATGTAGGTCTAGTAATTTCCATGGGTCTACTCGATGAGTAAAACCTTGTTTTATGCCACCTAATATTATTAATAATACTAATAAGTAAATAACACTCTAAAACTGATTCATTTCAACAAAGGAACTGCATCCTCTACTGAGCCAATGTCACCCCAGTAAACGTGAGGTGAGCATACCTGGTTTTGTTCCTTTTCTAGGGGAAAGCCCAATGGATCCACAGCGGAAACAGAGCAAAACAATGGCTGCATGAATGAAGACCTGTGTTTGGCACATTAAGAGGCAATTAGAAAAGTTTCATGGGAGTGCCTATTTATTTTCTGTTAACACAATTTACCAAGTAGGTTACAAGCACTCCTGTAGATCCCTCTTATTTGCACAAACAAAAGCCTGTTGTGTTGAAAGAGGGGACAATCTTTTCAACATAAAGCTATGGTTCACTGCAACATCATTTTCATTTGTCTTTCCCCCCCTCTCTCTTAGCAAAGTATTGCTAACGAGAGCATTGGCTTGCTCCCTTTGTGACAGGAATAGTCACAGTGCCCAGGCACTGAGTTGTACTTTTGTCTCCTTAAATGTGTTAAAGCTAATGAGCAGTTATGTTTTGACTATTGCGCATGAGCTGTAGTGCTTAAGAGTAGTTGATGAAATAGGCAGGGGACTCGGTTGCATAGCACATGTTTTTCACATGGAACAGCAGTGGGGGACCTTTTCTGGCTCTGCGGGCCCGATCTTTATCAGGATCAGCATGGCTGCCTACCTGTCTGTCACCTGATAGCACAATTATGCCAGGTGACTTGGCACTTTGAGGTCCCCAAATTGGGACTTTACAGAACTACACACAGCCAATCCGACAGGCTTTGTCTTTACGATCCATCAGTTAATGGGAAGTAGAGCCAAAGTCTGCTTTCCCTTGCAAATACAGAACCAGGTTGGCAGCCATGTTGTCCCAGGCATGGCAACTTGTTGGGACAACTTTGTTGCTTCCTCCCAGATCTGAGCTGCTTCTTGTGCTCCTGAACCATGACTCCTGAGCCCTGTGTCTACTGCTCAACCAGTGCCTCTTCTTGCTTGAATAAATATATATCTCCTCCTTACAAGTAAGAGCCTTTGCTTGTGTGTTTTAAGGCCTTCTGCACGCAGTCTTGTGTGCTTTGCTATAGACTATAGCTTTGCTATTGCTATAGCCGTCCTTTCCCTTGACAAGGATCTGCATGAGAGGAATAAAGTGTTGGGGCTCACAGAAGCTACTGTGAAGTTAAAAGGGCCGGATGCTATGATTTTGTGTCACAACTTCACTGGGAAACCATAACAAATGACTGCATAAGAGACACAATCTGAACGCTCACCCATCAGACCTTCTCATTAGTGTCAGGTTCGGCTTTGGGCTCTGACAGCAAAAATCTGGAAGACCTGCAATGGAGAATGTTCTGCTCTCTGGGAATGCATTAGCATAGCCTGTGTGAGGGTGTTTTCAAATGGCAAAATATTGCCATAAACTTTCAGCCAAGTAGTTGTCAATAGGCAAAAGGCAAAGGCGGGCCTGCTCATTTAGAAAGGACAATGTAATATAATACAGAACATAAT